GACGGAATTCTGCGTTTGAATGGACGTCTAAAGAATGCAGTGCTACCCGCTTGTGAACGATTCCCAATAATTTTACCAAAAGAAAGTCACTTTAGTAAATTAATGATCTCACACGCACACGAGGCTACGCTTCATGGCGGAACACAGGTCACTCTTCACGCGCTCAGACGACGTTATTGGCTAATTGATGCTCGCACTTGTATAAAAAGTTTTATTCATCGGTGTATAAAATGCTTCCGACAGAAATCATCTGCTGCAACCCAAATAATGGGAAGTTTGCCTGTACATCGATGCACTCCTGCTCCTGCTTTCAAGCATAGCGGTTTAGACTATGGGGGACCTTTTAAAGTACGTGCCACAAAAGGACGTGGTGCTCGCAGCTTGAAAGGCTACGTCGCTCTTTTCGTATGCCTCAGTACACGCGCAATCCACTTAGAGCTGGTAAGCGATATGACCACGGAAGCGTTTTTGGCGGCACTTCGGAGATTCTTTTCTCAACGAGGATACTGCTCCGACTTATACAGCGATTGTGCCACAACTTTTGTTGGCGCCAACGCCTGTTTAAAAGAAGACCTCGTCGCATTCCGAAATCAACTCGAAGCAGGTGCACGATCGGTTGCAGCCAATAACATATCATGGCATTTCATTCCGCCGGGTCTCCAAACTTCGGAGGTGTATGGGAAGCAGGCATCAAAAGCTGTTTTAAATTCAAGGCCCATCTCGGCTATATCCGATGATCCAACGGACTTTACGGCTTTGACCCCTGGCCATTTTTTGGTGGGCGGACCACTGATTGCACTTCCTGAACCTAATATTTTGGATATAAAGGTGGGACGACTAACAAAATGGAGGCAACTACAACAAATGCAACAGGATTTCTGGAAAAGGTGGAGTGCGGAATATTTGCACGAACTTCAGGCGCGTCACAAATGGCAGATCACAAAAGCTAACATAAAAGTAGGTAACTTGGTGTTGGTTCGAGACGAGCGAGCTCCTCCTACGCAATGGATGTTGGGACGTGTTCTCGAAGTTCACGCTGGCGATGACGCAGCGGTTCGAGTAGCCACCGTAAGAACCCAGTCTTCAATCCTCAAGAGAGCAATATCGAAACTGGTAGTGCTTCCAATAGAGACTGAGTCCGAAGAGTCAAACGGTGGGCGGTCACCCGTCGCAAACGATATTTCGTCGCAAAGGTTGGACGAGGTGGGCGGGAAATGTTGAGAAGCAACCCTGCATCTGCAAAGCACATAGCATGCAACGGCCACCCTCACAGTTTTTGACATTTTCCTTTTGATAGATTTTTTTCTCCGTAAGTTGGGTTCGTTTTGCGCTCAAGAGCTGACCTCGTGTTAATTTGCAAAATACTTATCAATTAAATTGTATAAGCTCAAATAAACTTTATTAATCGATATTAAAGAAACAAAACCTGCGCTTCTTTTGATTTCAAACAGTAAGGTTTAATGAACACGCTTATTAAAATTTAAAAAAATCGTAAAATTTCAAAAATTTCAAAATAGCTGGGGCAGATATTCTCCATGCTATGATTTTTTTTATTTGGTTGCGCACTCTTGAAACTTCACAAATATTTATGTTGTATTTGATGCCAACGTCCATTGCCTCTAATATGAACATTCTATTTGAAAACTACCCAAGGCTATTAAAAACAATTATAAATTTCTCGAGTGACAAAGAAAAAGTTTATTAATTTATTTTTATTGTAATTAATTCTGGAGCTTCATTGATTGAAATATGGCACACCGTCTTCAAAAGAGTCACAACTCAAAATAATACGTTTGTCAGAAAATGCGATAAACTATTTCTTGGCACATGATAATCATATGGCTAAGGGCAACTTTACCTTAGGTTTTTTTAACAAATTGTAACAAAAATTGCTCCAGATTTTGCTGAAAGGTAGATAAAAGCTCTGCGAACATTTTTGGCGTATAATCTCACCAAATAAGCCAAAGCAGGTATTTAAAGCACAGAAAAAAAATATTATTAAAAGGACTATGTTCTCTTTGACGTACGTCAAAGGTCAAGTAGAAGTGGGAACTTTTATGGCTGCCCATTGATAGCTCGGTTATATAGCTTAAGAAATAATATTTTAAAGACATTTTTATCAAAGTTGATAAATATGACATTTGACCAGTTTTGTTACACAAATACTCCTGCGACCACAGGCAAAAATATTGACTACATATTTAATTTGTTTTGCCATATACGTTTTATCGGTCCACTTGCAAAATATTCGCATTCGCAAAAGCTCCGCATTGATTATTGCAAATGCGAAAGCGAATGCGAATGTTAAAATTAATGCGGAAGCTCCGCGGTTGCGAATGCGAATGCGAATATTCACAACAAGCCTGTTACAAAGTAGTTAAAGTCTTCTTAATTTTTATGAATTCGGAGGTTAGGGTTCACAATTATACAGTTGTTGTTGTTGTTTATGTAGAGGATACAGCAACCCTACCCAGATCGGTTAGTCCCTCAATCGTTGTCGTCAAGCTCTACTAACGTGAGTCCCAAGAAGCGTGCTGCTTCGATAGGCACTGTCCATGAGGACAGAGGCGTTAGTAGAGTAGGGTTCAGTGGGCATGCGAAGAGATGCCTCAAGTCATGGGGTGTCTTTCCGCATGCCGGGCACATCAGCGTTTACTCTGCTCAGGTACGAGTTTAATCTGCTGCAGTAGCCCGGGCGAAGTTGGGCTATTGTGGTCCGAGTCTTCCGAGGGATTTTATAAACTATTTTTTAAACCAATTAATATATTTTTGTTATGTATTTATTATTAGCACTAATGGTTTACTGTAAAAAGTACGGAATAGATTTGAAGTACTTTTATACAATTATTTGTCAAAAAATATTATTAGTCTTGCATTATCCATAAATTGCATGCACACGCTGCGTCTAGTTATTACAAAACAGGTTTAAGGTTAGTTTCTTATAAGTGATAAAAAAACACAATATATATGAGCATTTCCGACGGACGCGTGCCGTACGTTCGTGTCGTGCGCTTTTGAAGTTCAAATAACAAGGGGAACATAAATTTTTATTAATTTTGTATGTTTCGATAGCATTTTGCTAGATATATCTTTGGTGCAAAAGAGATGATCTTTCGATTTTTATTTTTCACTATGCTAAAGCATTGTTTTTGAATATATCGTACACCGTCTTCAAAAGAGTCACAACTCAAAATTTGGCATTTTTGAGATTATACGCCAAAAATGTTCGCAGAGCTTTTATCTACCTTTCAGCAAAATCTGCAGCAATTTTTGTTACAATTTGTTAAAAAAAAACTAAGGTAAAGTTGCCCTTAGCCATATGATTATCATGTGCCAAGAAATAGTTTTTCGCATTTTCTGACAAACGTATTATTTTGAGTTGTGACTCTTTTGAAGACGGTGTGCCATATTTCAATCAATGGAGCTCCAGAATCAATTACAATAAAAATAAATTAATAAACTTTTTCTTTGTCACTCGAGAAATTTATAATTGTTTTTAATAGCCTTGGGTAGTTTTCAAATAGAATGTTCATATTAGAGGCAATGGACGTTGGCATCAAATACAACATAAATATCTGTGAAGTTTCAAGAGTGCGCAACCAAATAAAAAAAATCATAGCATGGAGAATATCTGCCCCAGCTATTTTGAAATTTTTGAAATTTTACGATTTTTTTTAATTTTAATAAGCGTGTTCATTAAACCTTACAAATGCATTATAAACCGTTAAAACTTATAATTGTGTATATACTTTATAAATTAACTGCAAAAATTTGTAAGAAAACTCGTTAACATTTCTAACAAATTACTCCAGCGATTTCACTGAATAAACTTGATAAATTAAAGCCAATGCAACTCTGTCTCACTGTGTTTTCTTGGGCAATAATCGGGATCAGCATACAAATTTTGCACGAAAATACAACGACAACGATATGATCCTGATAGAGATCTGGTTCAGTTTATGATCCGCTCTATTTGTTTTGTTTCACTGATAATTTGGTAGCACAGTTTGGTAGCACCGTCAAATGAATTCATGCACAAACAAACTTTGTACAGCAGAAAAGCGCGAAAATAATTAATGCACTTTCTGAAACATATGCTAAGTTTGAACGCTCACAGCTTAGCTAATAGTGGAAGCAAAACAAAACAAAATAAAACAAAACAAGCAAGAAACTCTAAGTCCAGGCGGAGCCGAACATTAAATACCCGGCGCAGGTATTAAATATATGTTTTTCACCTATCCGAAAATTACCGCTACATGGTAAGCAGGGGTGGTTTTACTCCAATTTTAAACATCTTCGATAGAACGTTCAGTTAGACAAAATGAGATAATTTTATATAGTCATATATGGGCGGTATTACGCCCATTTTCCGAAATTCCAAATAATTTATTGTTGTTAGTATCAATTTTGAGTAAATTAGCGTCCTTAAATTTCGAAATATTGAAGTTTCAAGCATTTCTGAAATTTACCGTACTTTTAGTCCGATTTCAATAGTTTTGAACGATTTGCTTTTATGTGGCAAGCACAATAATCGTACCCATTTAGGCACATATTGATGCAACAGTTACTGAGATACNTGGCACATATTGATGGAACGGTTACTGAGATACATATTTGTGATCATAAGTGGGCGTTACCACGCCGATTTTCTAACATTTAATTATAAACGTATTTTTAACCAAAGAATTATTACAAGCATTAATTTTGAATAAACTAGCTTCAGTATTTACTGATTTATTGAAGATTTCGTATTTCTTTAAATTACCGTTGTATGGGATGTGGGCGTGGTTATTGTCCAATTTTAAACATTTGGTATGTTGTAACAAGGCCAAGAATTGTTCCAAGTTTGGGAGAAATTGGTGAAGCGGTTACCAAGATATACACATGTAATCATAAGCGAGCGTGGCTACGCCCATTTCACAAAAAAACTTATAATACTCCTATTTTTCGTCTAATAATCATTGTAAATATCAATTTTGGGTGAATAAGCTTCACTAGTTTCTAAAATATCTCAGTTTTCGAATTTCTGAAAACTACCGTTATACGGGAGGTGGGCGTGGTTATTGTCCGATTTTACTCATTTTCAATACCATCCGTCCTACGCCCGAAAGATATCTCAAGTTTTACTCGAGTTATCGTGTACACAGACGGACGGACGGACAGGCGGTCATCGCTTAATCTTTCTTTCTCTTTTCATTCTGATCATTTATGTATACATTTGTCTATATCTATCTCGATTCGTTTTGCCTGTTACAAACAACCGTTATGTGAACAAAGTTATAATACCCTTGTGCACAAGTGCGCTCGGGTATAAAAAAAAAACATCAAGGAAAAAATTTCACAAGAATTTGGTAGGAAAAGCCCAATAACGGCAACACTGAAGCATAAATATGTACATACAACATTACCAATTTATATTTCGTTTGCGAATGGGATGAGGCACGAAATAAAGTAATAATTTCATACGTTTTCCACGCTGTTGTTACCGCTCATTGAAACGTCAAGAGCAAGTATTGTATGAGATTGATTGTTGCAATCTGTGAACCCCCGATTTGACCTGCTGTAAGAGCTCAGTTAGTCAACGACGTAGCGTAAACGTAGGTTGACGTACGTAGCAGCATATCAAATTTACTGTTGATAGAGAGAGAGAAGCAACGGCAACGTCACCGCCATGTGGTAGTGAGTTTTTGTTAACACGCGAATCCCATAAGATAGATCGTGTCTGCGTCAACCTACGTCTACGCTACGTCGTTGACTGTTTGCGCTTTAATACCTTGCGATATTTATTTCCACGTTTCAATTTATTTGCTATTCATGTAGAAATAATTTGTTAGAATAAATACACATTTACGCACGAATGTATAGGTCTATTGATGCAACTTTTCAAGTAAGGTTCGGATAACGGGATTCCGCTTATGTTGTTCTTGTTTTAGCGGCTACTAAACCCCGCTCGACTTATCCGCCAAGGTTGTCGTCAGGCTCAGCTAAGGGGAGGCTCAAGAAGTGCGCGAATTCCACTGGGTCTATCCAAAGGGAAAGGGGCGTTAGTTGGGTGGGGTTCGGGAGGC